CCACATTCAACAAACATTAGTTCCAGAGACCACCATTTTCAGGTCTGAGTTAGTTCCATAAAGCCCCCCCCCCCATTTTTAACTTCGCAGTGGCACATACCAGATATACCTACCATAATGTGGGGTGAGTCCCCCCCCGGGGTTTCATCTCCTTGGTATATGTTGCTCCTTGGTTCCTGCACAATTTTTTTGTCAGCAATTTGAGGGCTTTGATTAGCTAAACTCTGAGAGCTTCCCCGGACCCCTGCCAGGGGCACTAAGGCGGGCCCCTGGGGCTGGATTCATCAACGTTGCGCAAAGTGTATTGCGTACACAGAGTTTCTACGAAGTACGTACGCAAAGCTCGTAGGTGCGATTCATCAACGCAGCGTAGCACCTCCTCATTTTCGTTTGTATGATTGTGTTCAACACTCGATGAAAGCAGCGACACGTACGCGTGCGTGCGTGCGTGTGCACGTACACGTGCGTGCGTGCGTGTGTGTGCACATACACGTGCGTGCGTGTGCACGTACACGTGCGTGCTTGCGTACGTACACGGGCGTGCGTGCGTGCGTGTGTACGTACACGTGCGTGCTTGTGTGCACGTACAAGTGCGTGCGTGTGCACGTACAAGTGCGCACGGCGTGTGCACGTACACGGCTAACTACGAACTCGCTTATAACGAAAACAATGCCAAGCTATGACAAAAAAAGCGTCAAAGGCGCCGCCTGTCTGTGTAGTATGGTAATTATTTATCTTATTTTTAGTTGAGTAGTAATTTTATAATTTTTCTCCAATAAAATAATGCATGCTGCGGTATGCTGGGAACACCTGTGCAAATTTCGAGTGGTTTACGGCACCTCGTCAGCTCGTGTAAAGTTACGCAAAGTTTACGTAAATTTTAGCTTGATGAATTGCACCTAAATGGCCTCGCTTGCGTACGCGAAATCGTACGAAAATTACTAAATAGCTGTGTTGATGAATCGCAACTAAGCAACGTCGATTGCGTACACAATATTTACGAAAAATATTTTGCGTACGCAGCTTGATGAATCATGAATCTACCCCCTGGACCCCACTCGACAGTGCAAGCGCACACGGTATCAGAGTCTACAGTTCTCACGGGCGTGTACAGGGGGGGTCAGGGGTCCGGACCCTCCCTACTTGCGCAGAAAACGGATCTGAGGGGTCTAATTTAAAAAAAAATCCGTGATCTCTACACGGCCCTGGTTTCGCCCCTCCTAAGAAAATACCCTGGCGCCGTCCCTGGTTATATATATATATATCTGACGTTGTACATAATTATAGAGAATGAAAGAACCTCGCTCATTAGTTGCATCGTGCAGCGAAAAGATACTATAGAGCTATTGTTTTGCTTGTTAGAGCGATTATTGCTAAAGCTTAATATACTATATTTATTTATAAATTTATTGCACTTTCACCTATAATATTATTTTCTTCACTGAATAGTGAGAACAAGATATGGTGTAGGGGACGCGGATGAGATAATGCAGCCAACCCACATTAATTATAATTAAATATTTCATTGGCGCTCATGTAGAAAATGTGGTTATATGTAGTATCGTAGGATTGTGTTTGATTAGGCTGAAATAGACGAACGAAGAGTAGTTTTCATAATACTGTGTTTCTGTTATCTATCGACGCAACCTAACACTACCCTTAAAACGGGTGCCACTACGGCACCTGCTAAACCGAGAACCTGGAAACGGGAAGCTGCAAAAGCCTTCTTTAGACTGGTGCCGTGACCAGGATTCGAACCTGGGTTATTGCGGACACAACGCAATGTACTAACCACTATACGATCACGGCCTTAGACTGGTGCGCGTGACCAGCGGTTTAGGAGGTAGTGGCAATAGGTTGCGTAGATAGCCACGTCTCTAGTGTCGGTTCTAATATACGTTTTACACTCTAAGCACAAGTTTCGCCGTGATCAGCGTGTCACCTGTCAGCTGCCACCGAGTCACCATTGAGTCAACGACCGGGACATCGTACAGTCTCGTCTCCAACATTATTACGTAAGTGCGAATTGTTTTTACACCAAGGTATGCTCAAACTATTCTCTTTAATAGCCTTTTCATAGCTAAATTATCTTCGTTTACACGCTTTTTAAGCGTTTTCGCTTTCTAAATTTGTTGGTGCGCGCTATAAATAGCAGCCACCATGTCGCTAGGTGTAATCGCACATAGCGATTGCCGCTCTTTCTGCCCCTCACCGATTTTTCCCACGTCTACATCCGCCTAGTACACAATCACACGCGTCACGTACCCCCTGTCCCCACACCTTGTTACATTCTTGTGTTTTTCTCTGTCTTTCGCTGTTTTCCTCGTTTAACCAACGCCCTAAAACCAATTACTTACGCCACGCACGACCAATAGCCCCCCTATCCATGCACGTATGTGCTACCATTACGTAGCAGCAGCCGCATTTTCTCATAGGAGATCAATACCCACAGCTGCTATACTATACTATACTATACTATACTATGCTCATAGCATTACGTAGGCCCTCGCACGCCACCAACACGGCCGGCCGCCGGCGGTGAATGAGCAGAATCCCTTCTGCGCCTGCGCGCTGCACATGCGCTGAGACGTCGACTTCAGCCGCATGCTCGAATAGCCGACCAATACACGCGCTTGCGCGCGGCACATGCGCCGTGACGTCCACCTCAGCCGTATTTTTCTCGCATACCCGACCAATACACGCGCCTGCGCGTGACGCTCTTCACTCGCATACATAAGTCATCCCAACGCACACACATACAGACGTCACTCTCTGTGCATGCGCCACGCAGCACACTTGGCAGTCTAGCAGCCAAGTAAACCCCCCTTCACATCCCATATCTCCACCCCTGCCCCTCTCATAACCCCACCCCCCAAAAAAACCAACCCCTTACCCACATAACTCGAAGCCTCCTAACTCCCCCCCATAACTCCCCCCCAACTCCTACACCCCCATAACTTGTACCCCCCAACTCGTAACACCCCCCATAACTCAAACCTTCCCCCTAACTCCCCCCAACTCGTACACCCCCGTAACTTGTACCCCCCCAAACTTGTACCCCCTAACTCGTACCCCCCTCCCTTCCCCCCAGCTCGTACCACCTCCCAACTCGTAACCACCATTCCAAACGCACCCACCCTAACTCGTACCCCCCAACTTGTACCCTCCCATCATACCCCCCAACTCGTAACCCCCTCCGCAACGTACCCCCCACTATGACGACGGGGACCTTCCCACCCGTTGGACGCCCGTCCTTTCACGGCGGACACGTCTCTTGACGATACAGACGATCACATTGCTTTTCCAAAGCAGCGGCTCAACGCACTCGTCAAGGAAGTCCAGAGCTTACTCTTAGTGAGTGGCTTTCTCGCGTATGATGGGCGTGACAATTCACCAGTTACCTTCGAACAATGGCTTTTGAATCTCGATCGCTTACTCCTGATCATTGATGAGAGTGACGACGGCAGACAGGCCAGACTGGCCTTGTGCTTACTGGCAGGCGAGCCAGCCAATTGCGCAGCACAGGCCTTGAGTGCCACACCCACGCTGGGATGGAAGGGCTTGGCCGCCATTCTCAAAGAGCGCTACACCGATACGGCAAGTGCGCCTATCACCTTGCAGGAATTTAAGCGTGCTAAGCAATGCTCGCATGAGTCCATACGGGCGTATTCCAAACGCCTCGAACATCATGCGCGCACAGCTTTTGGCGACCTGGCTGAATCCGACATGTCGCTCCAAGCGTGACTCATCGATCAGTTTCTCGACGGCATTACATAGCACTCTTCGAAGCGCCTGCTCGTGCGCAAGAGGCCGCCCACCTACGCACAGGTAGTGCAACTTGCCTCGCAAGAGGTTGCCTTAGATGTTGAAGGCCGCATGCACTTGCACATGGTACAGGACCCACTGGATGTTTCAAACGTACCAGTTGCTCCAACAATCGAGCAACAACTGCGCGAGCTGTGCAACATTGTCGTCCAATTCATAAAGAAGGTGGCGCAACCCCGGCAAGAGCCGCAGCTTCTGCCGCCCCAGGCTCGCCCGCAGTATCAACAGCCTTGTTTTTCGCCACGCCAGTATGTATCCGATCGCCCCACTGCTACCGCACGGTCCTATGCTACCCGCCCGTCTTATGCACCGGCTGCATCGGCCGGCTCACAATCGATGCAGCCGCCTCGTTTCCCCAATTACCGCGGCGCTACCACACCTTTTGCCTGGACCCCGGAAGGCATCACTATTTGTCATTTTTGTGAGAAGCCTGGCCACTATTGCCGTGAGTGCCGTGCACGCCACGAACGCACCGCTCAACGTACCCAGGGAAACGCCCGGCCTCTTTTCAATATGAGACGCTGAGGAGACCGGCCCAGTTCACTCTGTTTCACCCGCACGTACGTGCGTTACACGTTACGCAACGATTCCAGACATCTTGCACCACTCTGCACCTCTGACATAGGAGCAGCACCCGCGGACGCACTTATTGATCAGGGCGCGATGACTTCCCTCATCAGCGAAACGTTTTGGTTGAAGCTCAAGGCCCGCTATGCGCATTGCGTTAGGGCGAACCACACACAAGTTTTGAAGTCGGCTTCGGGAGACCACCTATTCGTCCTGGGTCGCGCCACCCTACCCATACATATTACCGGCCCTATCGTTTCACACGCATTCTTCATAGTACGAGGCATCTTGCGTGATGTCATCTTAGGTTTTGATTTCATGTGAGCGCACAATGTTCAGCTTGATTGTGGCCGCGCCATGCTTACCATAGCTAACGTCGCCGTTCGTCTTAAGATAAACAGTGCTGCTGACGACGCTAGTTCTATTTATACCGTCTCGCTGCTCCACCCCTGCACGCTACAGCCCAATACAGTAAAACGTTGTTATGGCCGTTTCGACACCGGCACGCCCCTCCCACTCATGCGTCCGTATTACTCACTGGTTCGAATGCGCTTCAGCCAGCTCACCCCAATATTTATACGGTCGATACCGTTACTACGCCCACCTCCTCCCCCTATGTCCACGTGCCCCTTTTCAATGACACGTCGGCGCCATCACTCTGCCGCGTGGCTCTGCATTGGCCATAGCATGCAAGGTTACCCCCCACTCACCGATGCCTCACCCCTCGCACATACCCAGCACAAATCGCCCACTGCTAAGGCTGCGACCCCAGCCATGTCACATACTTACCGCTTGCCCACAAGCCCACGTCAACCACGTCGCAGCGCACAACCACCGCAAGTTACCCGTCGATCTCACTCACCTAACGGGCCAGCATCGCAAATCCATTCAGGATCTCATTGAAGCAAACAATGATTTGTTTGCGCTCAATGATGCCGAGCTTGGGCACACGCACCTTGTTAAAATGCACACTGACACGACAACCCATCCATCGATACGACAGAAACCTTATCGAACTCCATTCAATTATCGCCACGCAATGGATACTCACATCTAGCGGCTATTTGACGCCGGCATTATCACGCCATTGCAAAGCCAGTGGGGAAGCCCTGCCTTTATCGTTCCGAAACAAGACGACCCTCTCGGCAGAATGGTCATTGACTACATCCGCTTAAACGCCATAACCAAGAAGGATGTCTACCCCCTTCCTCGTATCGACGACATTCTAGCTTCATTAGGCAAATTGCACTTCTACTCCACCTTAGATCTTAAATCCGGGTATTTCAAGATACCAATGGCCCTCGAGGACGTCGTTACGTACGACCAGTCATATTCTTACCTTGTCCTTCCGTTTGGGCTCGCCAACGCCCCTAGCGTTTTCCAAAGACTTTTGAACATGGTTCTCTCTTACCTTCAGAACAAGTGTGCTATCCCGTACATCAATGACATTATCATCCATTCGCCGAATCTGCAGCAGCACCTTGCCGACATACAACAGGTCTTCCACCGGTTACATCAAGCGGATCTTAAACTCAACCCTACTACATGCGTTTTTTTGAAGCAGTCCGTCAAGTATCTGGGACACGTCATCTCCCCGCACAGTGTTACACCGGACGCAGCCAAAGTTACGGCAATCCAACAGCTCAAACTGCCGGCAAACGTTCGACAAGTCAGATCGTTTCTAGGCATGGCTAATTACTACCGTGCGCACATTAAATCAATTGCAAATATTGCCATGCCCTTGACCACCCTAACCAAGAAGAATATACACTTCAAATGGACTGACGACGCTGAGACCGCCTTTCAACAGTTGCAAGCAAAACTCGTCTCAGCGCCTATTCTCGCATATCCCGACACCGACAAACCATACAGGCTGTATACCAATGCTTTGCGACTTCGCAGTTGGAGCCGTCCTAGCTCAGGACGATGATGACGGTCACGAGGTCGTCATACAATACATTTCACATCAACTCACCCCCTCGCAGGCACGATGGGGCATTACACAACGCGAGACATTCGCCATAATCTATGCACTGGACACCCTTCGCCACTATCTTGCTGGCGCTTCCCTCACCATCTACACAGACCATAAGCCACTCGAGTATTTCCTCACGTCGCCCACATTGAAGAATCCACGCTTGTTACGGTGAGCCACGATTCTCACCAAGTATCAGCCCAAGATACTATACCTCAAAGGCGCCAGAAACGTTCACGCCGATCAATTGTCCAGAATGGCTGCCGGACACGCTCACGTCAGCCCTGCCGACACACCCGATCCACAGAATCGCCACCTAACCCAGATCGATGTACGTGCCGACACCCCGGAACACATGCCTCCTTCGTCACCACAACACACCACCGAGGACAACCCTCCCGTAGACGAGCATGTGCCGCCCCCAACCAACGTCTCACCACCCCCGCCGCCCGCACAAACCACATGCGAGGTAACCGCCCAAGGCCCCATCATAGATACCATATCGCTAGACGCCATTCACGCAGAAAAGTATCAGGACGCACACTTGTGTAAGATTCGCGAAATTCTCACCGTGTCCGCTCCAGCACTGAAGGATCTAAAGTCCATCGCATGCTACTTCATCGATGACGATGACCTCATCTATTACACAGCTGAACCAACACGGCATGAAGACCCCAGTATGCAACTCGTCATCCCACCCAAATATCAACACCTCATTACCGCGGCTCATCATCAAGCCGCACATCTCGGTTTCCCTAAAACGTATGCACTCATTCGCAGCCGCTACTACTGGCCAGGAATGTACGCCACCATTCATACGTTCTTTCGTAGTTGTGTTGCATGCAACTCCGCCAAGCTCCAACGCATACCGTCTCCACTGGGAGCTGCGCCATTCCCAGATTCGCTGTTCCAGGTAGTAGCAGTCGACACCTGCCAATATCCCTTGACACCCAGAGGCAATCGCTACATCATTCATTTCCATTGCACTTACACAAGTTGGCCAGAGTGTTTTCCGGTACGGGACAAGTCCGCGCAGACCGTGGGTGACCTCTTGGTCAACGAAATCATCCCTCGACATTCCTGCAGTAAGATCCTACTCTCCGACAACGGCACCGAATTTTGCAACCATGTCATGGATGCCCTCACCCACCACTTCGGCATAACGGCAGTCCGCTGCGCCCCCTACCACCCCGCATCCAACGCGGCTTGCGAACGCTTCCATCGCATTTTAAACTCTATAATCGCCAGCGTCGTTAACCGACAGCAGACTAATTGGGACTTGTTGCTCCCATCTCTGCTTTCAGCGTACCGAGTAAGCATTCACGGCACATTGCGACACTCCCCCTTCTATCTGCTGTATGGCAGACAGCCAACGCTTCCACTTGATAACTTGCTCCTACCCCGAAGGAAGACGTATGACGACGACCCCATTCAGCAAACTCTCGAACGTTTCCATCAGGCATACGTCCACATTCGCGACGCAACCCGTGACATGCGTGCACAAAATAAATGCCGCTATGATCGCCGCGTGCGCGAACAGCATTTCAAAGCCGGAGATCCGGTCTACTACCACGACTCCGTACTTCAACCAAACACCACACGCAAGCTCGCATCGCCCTGGAAACCCTTTTATACTATAATCAAAATGCTGTCCCAGAAGAAGTGTCTCATTCAACACGAGTCGAGCATGCATCACGTTACAGCACACATTGACAACCTCCGGGCTGCGCATCCTTCCGCTCACTGGGATAAGCCCCGCGCCACGCCCATGAGGCAACAGCCACTGCGGCAAGCTACGCTCGCGCATCCAGATGCAGCACGTGCATCCACACACTCCAGCAACTCACAATCAGATTCTGACAGCGACGACCCTCCCCAGCGCCAATCGGCGTCTGACAGTGATTTCAGCACTACCAGTCTCATTTCGCTGGCACGTTTCCGCGAAACATCACCTGCCGCACCCACCGGCGATGATTTCTCTGTACAAGGAATCCAGCCAGTGGTGTCCAGCCAGGAAACAACCACCTACGAAGTGCATACTACGGGTTCTGCAGGCTCTGTATCCACTGAAACGGCCACGGACACCGAGACCGGTCAGACTGCTCAGACACTGCCCGACGACCCAGAGCACTCAAACGTCATGCTCAGGGAGCGTACCACTACGGAACCTCTGTGCACGCCCGCATCGTTGCAACACGTGCCGGTAGTAACCCTATCAACGCAATGCATACCGTCGCATTCTCCGAATGACACCACTGCTCAACGGCCGCGTCAGGTAGACGTACCTCACGCCCCGCCCTCAGCACCAACATCCGCCAACCCGCGCCTGCAACCACTACACCTGCGCCACCTTTGCATGCAGATATATGTGCAATCGCAAGCCGTCCCCACGCCGCAGAGGCTCGCATGACTCACGCCATTCAGCCTGTATCCGTTAGCAGCGCATGGCGCACATTGTGGTGCGCACTCTATGGCCCCCGGCCCACGGAGCCACACGTGACCCTGGGGACACAGCTAAAGCCCAGCCATAATATCCACTACCCTTAATATTGTCGGTACGAGCATACCGTAGTCAGAGAACGCGTCGCACATTCGTAGTCCTGGAGCCTTTAGTACGGCTCGGTTTCTCCGTGTTCCGCGGGCGCAATATATAGCTCGCACATAGCGCGCCTAATGGCGTCATTTCACGACGCCCGCGTACGTTAGTATCGTGCCTGTAACCAACATGTCTACTATGGACGTCATAACTAGAACGATGGCAGCCGCTAACGCAGCGCCGCGTGCAACTGCGGATCCCCAGCCGCCGCCGCCGCCGCCGTGCTTGACAACCGCTGCCGCCTCATCGCAGGACCTCGATGCCTCTACGTCTAGCGGCCCTGCCAGCAGGCCCCCATCGCCTGGCCGCCGGCTGCCGCTACGACCACTACCCCTGCCACCGCTTCAGCTGGCATCTCGCCACGACGCCGCACGCCCCTGGAGCTCATGAGGGCAGAGTCGCCCTGCAGCTCCACGCGGCCGACGATCACGCCACTACTACTACTACTGGCCAATAGAAGAGAAGGACTGGCACACCGGCGCCCCAGCCCCGCCCAGCCCGTGGATTGACATATTCATGTGTATTGAACACACACACCACACACAACACATCACACCACACGCACACACAACACACCCACACACACACATACACACACCACTACACACCACACACACACACAACACAACAGGCATTCACACACACACACACAGGCCGCGCGCGCGCGCGCGCGCACACACACGCACAACACACACACACACATTTATCTGTGATATATAATATTATATATTATATATATATATATATATATACGGGCATAACTGCATGCTATTGCTGCACACCTTGACACACATATGACGTCTACATTGCTACTACAACGTGGTTGACCGTCGATTTACCTACCTGTTAGCAGCGACGACGCGAGGGTATTTTCTTTTCTTTTCTCTTAAACAGTTTTATTTCTTTACAATCTTTAAGTCTTTACATTCAGCAGTTTACCAAACGAGGCATCACAACACGTGTGCAAGGAGAACCTTGCGTGTCGCACACTAGTATACTGTGATACAGAACACCAACGTGCACGGTCCCATCTCTACCACATTTCACCCCACATTTCGTAAAGCAGTCTTTCGCTCTCTCTCTCTTTCTATATATATATATATGTATGCGTCTATCTAGCTATATAGGTAGAGCCTATATTTAAAATCCCTTAGCTGATACGGTATGTGTACACACACATACGGCGTTTAGACTATATGCCCTCTCCAGCAGCAATAAACCTCGTACAAGTAGCTTATCTTGTTACGGAACGGAGCATCTAGGTACACAAGCTTTTCTCACTTTTAAGCAATTAATAAATCTTACAGAACGAACTGTACGCACGGTTCGCTGACGTGTGTGATATCGTTGTTTTGATCTGCCGCTCATCCGACGCTGCATAATTGTCACAGAATGCGCTGGCACCTATCCTATCGGCTATATTCCCCTACCAGCAACTACACGAATAAGCATACAAAAATGTTAGCTGCCAAGCAATCGGTCGCGTACATCGAAACACCGTGTTTCATTGCACGTGTAGTCCCTCACTGCCTGGGTCAAAAACTACACCAATGTACGAGTCTCTTCGTCCACGACGCACAGACTTACATGCATACCAGCGCAAAAGAGGTTATCTCCGAACTATTTATATTCATATACATAGCGACTTAATGCTATATATGTATATATATAATATAATATTATATAAATGCTATAAAATGCAGCATAGTTACGCACAAAGAATAAACCCACGCACGCACCGCACGCACGCACACATCAAATATTAGAATATGCGCAGTCTTTCGATACTTAACTTCCTTACTCAGTGCCAGTACAGGCATTACATTCATTGATAGTGAATGTACATATCGCCTGCAGTCCTTAGTTGTGACATACATATCTCCGCTGTAATAGGAATATACAGAAACAGAGATATGTCTCGCGGGTTCAAGTACACTGCACGCACGCCGCTGTGCACAAACAACAAATAGAAATAGTTATATATATTTGTTTATAATTATATTATATATTTATTATATATATATCTTTATATTAGTTGTTTGTGCACACTCGGAAGGGCAGTGTTTGCAGCCCGAGCTTTGGCACGAGATTACAGGAAATTATCGCGCATAAATGGCGAAAGAGACCGTAGTAGAAACATTAAAACTTTAGTAGTAAACTGATTACGCGTTCTTTATTGCCATAATTTTAACATTGAAGGTTCAAGTGTCTTGGTCGAAGCAGGTACTATAGGCATACTCGGTGCATGCAGATTCACACCCGCACCGCCAACATGCAACGTTAAAGAATTGAGTTCACGCGCACTATATCGTCGCTGCCGCTTTGACCATGGTGACGTGTGATATTGCCAAGTTTCATATATTGAGTAGGTTATGAGTCAACTACTATATATATACACACCTATTGCCCAGCTACAACATAACCAATACTTTACACATACGTTCCATTACCTAATTACCCAGTACAACCTCTGATGACGGCAGGAATCATCAGAGCCTTATAGCTTCAATACTCCACGAACAGATGGCGTTCTCGCCTCATGGGGCTCAATCTAACACTGCCACAAGTAGATTCGGTTACACATTTGTAACGCTTTTTACTAAAGCTTTTACAGGCAGGTGAACGTTATTTCGTATCCTGATGTAGAAGTAATGTTGGACTAATAAAAGTTGCAAAGATATTACAAATCGTACCGTTATTATCATGAAAATTTGAACATTAGGATTCAAATTACTACGTGTTGATTGTGGCCCATTACCGGTCTTTAATCTTACACTGTTAGCGACTCTCATTTCGCGTGGATTTCCGCCCGAGTCCGCTCCACCTTTAAAAATATGCTAGCTATTGTGGGCAGTGGTATATTGGATGTGCGAAGGTGCACGTGCATCCAGTTTGCCTTATAGCTATCAGGCGCGCAAATCCATTTGAAATGTGGGGGGGGGCAATAGTAGCGAGCGAACGCGAGCGGGGGTCTGGGGGGCTCTCTCCACAGGAAAATTTTTGAATTAGACGCCCGCTCAGATTGCGTTTTTCTGGCGAGCGGGGGGGCCGGACCCCTGGACCCCCTGTACACGCCCTGCAGACACACACACACAACACCACACACATACCACACACACCACACACCCATTCCACTGCCGCACGACGCACGCACGCACGCACACACACAACACACACACACACACATCACAACACACAACACAGCCACACATGCACTTTGTTGTAATACGTTCAGAAAAGGGGTGTCCACATGCGAGTCATAAAATCAAGGAAAACAAAAAGCAGAAAACCAATCATTTGTGTTGAGGCTGATCACAAAATAAATTGGTTCGCGTTTATTCATGTTGTGTCCAGTCATATCATAATATGCGTGTATATATATATCAATTTGCAATAGAAAATTACATTATTAAACCGAATGTCAGTTACTCAGTGTCCTCTTTGCGTGAATATAGTTCTCGTTCCCAGCTTATCCTGAATCAGTGTCTAATTGAGTGATATCTTCACTAACCTTTCATAAACACTACTTTCTCTTGATGATTTCTGCATAGAATTTATTTGATATAGAAAAAACGTCTTATAGAGTAAAACACGGTACTAAATTTATCAAGACACATTTTTGCTAGTTGTGCATGATCATTATATGCTCTCAAATGCATCTTGATGAAATAAAGCTGGCAAAAAAAGAAAAAATGGAAAGAAGCCAATCGTTGACGTACTAGCACAACACACAAACACTACACACACATCACCACACACACACACTTACACACAAAATCATGTGATCAAAATCGTGGGGGGGACTTTGATATGACGTCCCCTCAATTCGTTGGGGGGGGGAACATGTCCCCGCCCCCCTGATTTGCGCCCCTGATAGCTATATATAATTGTAAATAACCTAAGTATTATTTTTGTCACTTATTCCGTGAAAGGCCTTCGTCTTCAGACGCCACCTACTAAACAATATGACGTCGACCAGAGCTGCGATGTGTCATCTCATTACACAACGAGTCATGAAAATTACCCCCCCCCAGGAATTGGCTCAGTCCCTACGGCATGGTTGGATGGTATGTAAAGTGCGTGACACTTATTCATCCGAAGTAGTAATTTATGGATTTCACCAAGACACTCGCTTTCTTCGTGTTTAGATGTATGGTACAGGAGGGCTTACATTCTGCAAAAGAAATCTCACACGCCGATCCTAAATTGCACGAAGAACGCCAGTATTCTTTTTGTGCAGGGGAAAGGCAAGCCTCATTGTGCTTAATATGTGCAATATTTACGCAGGGTAGCATACATTAGAGGCAGTTGCGTTACGTTAGACAATATATTGACAGTAGACCACGACACAGCCGTTTGACCATTGCGAGTTAGAAAAGCCGTTAGCGTTCATTACCATTGTTATAACGTGTGGAAAATATTTACTAACAGCAAAGCAAAATGATGGTATCTGTGTCGACGGACCTAGTGTTGTGCCGCCAGAATTCATCACGACACGAAACTCTTATTCTGTAGGAATAAGATTCGCTAAAAATATAATTATTGCATCTGCTCCTGCGGTGTGTTTGCGATTCGCGTTGACTAGCAGAGTGAAGTGGATATATGCATGACATGCAAGGTAGATATAACAATGTGTTTTTATCTATTTGTGACATGTGTGTGCCGCGGGTGTGTCTGTCTGTCCGTCCGTCCTGTATTATTTGTCAGTCTGTCTGTCTATCAGTGTGAATCTGCGCAGTTTATTTACAGTGAGAAAAGGTTTTCATTCGTCTATCGATAATATATTATAAACAATTATGACCGCTGTGTAAAATATTCAACAAAAATACTGTAATTTTCTGTTTATATAGCATTTTCTTACAGAAAACTGGGAATATATTCGATAATAAACACTTGGACCAACACCACATATACGCACCTCACTAGCTTAACGATATATCAAATATTAGATTGCCATCGAGAAATAACGTTTAGTATATATATATATATATATTATATATAATATATATATTATTATATATTATATAATCAGAGTTATATTGACATACCTGATATAATGACTTCATATTGGATATATGAATCATGGATTTACTTAACTCATTGTCATAACCTAGCAAAAATAACGTTAGACTCCTGTACAGCCACCCTACTAACAGCAACGAACGCATGTGTTTATTTGAAGTTGTGAGGAATAAATGTTGATATAATAATAGCCAGCATAAAGCTAGTCAAATAGTTACAACATTATACATTTATTATAACTATTTGCAAAAAGGTGTTATATAGCAAGTTTCCAATAGAAAGTAAAAAATTCAACCCTTCATTAGAGACTGCTATAAATACTTACATCCCTGAATTACCTGCTTACATTTAGTCACGGGGGATACAATTGTCCGTGTAGGGGTAATGCCGTGTAAGCCTAAATAATGATTAGGCTTAAATAAGGCTACCATGGAAATGACAACATAAAAAGTGAGATGCTAGTAAAGTAAATTGTCGTTATCAGTAACAATAATGAGCTACTCTTGTATTACGCCAGTTATGCATAATCTAACCATATAAATCGTTTATCACTTAAAACAGTTAGATTGCATTCCATGCGTATCTCTACATACTGTAAAATACTGTAAATAATTACGTAAATACATTACAAAACGTTTGTTGTCACAAACAACTCTATACATTACACATAAAGCAAATAACTAAGAAATTAATGTTACTTTTCTAATGGCTTTATTAGAGTTAATCTATTACATATATTTTTTAAAGACATTTTAAATCCAACAGTAAGCAAATTAGTCTAACAGTTCGTAACAGCAAAAATCATGAACGATCTTTCTTGCACTTTGGTAACAGTATTAAAGGTTAATATTAACAGTAGATGTTTAATGTCTCCTAAACATTATTTGTAATATTTCAGCAATATGTAGACATTCGTTTTCTTTATATTTTTGATGGTGGGACTATGTAAATAATGGTTTTTAGCTATATAGTTTCAAAACCTTTGAGTTTTTATGGTGAATTGTGTTAGCCCTCACAACTTTGTGGAAACAGCTTTTAGCAGATACATAAAATTCATATATTAAAGAAAATCCCATTAATCACAACATTTGACAATCATAAAACCTAAAAAGATGAATTAAAACATTTTGCCTTTCCTAAAGGTGGTACATTAAACTAAATACTAACATACACTTTATA